GACAGGAAACCCACACAAATGGAAATATCAGTTGTGTAAGGATGATGTGATTTTGGTTGGTAGCATTCTTTCTGTTGGTAATTGGTAATGAAGCTTTCCTAGGCCTCTGCATCCAATGAAGATCTTCAGATTTGATTAAAATCCTAGGAAAACAGTCTGAGGCACAGCAGGGCCATCTCTCTCCATTTACAGTGAATTCCTGGCAGCTTCTAGAAGAATTAACCTCCATGGCCTTGTGTTTCTTTCCCGTGACCTTGGTTATCCCCTGGTGCTGCTCTCTAGGCTGCCACCTTGTGGAGGTTTTGGGAGTTGCAGCTTCAACAGCACTGCAGATTCACCCCCTTTGTTTTTTTTTTTTTATAAATTAATTTTTATTGGTGTTCAATTTACCAACATACAGAATAACACTCAGTGCTCATCCCGTCAAGTGTCCCCCTCAGTGCCCGTCACCCATTCACCCCCACCCCCCGCCCTCCTCCCCCTCCACTACCCCTAGTTCGTTTCCCAGAGTTAGGAGTCTTTATGTTCTGTCTCCCTTTCTGATATTTCCCACACATTCTTCTCCCTTCCCTTATATTCTCTTTCACTATTATTTATATTCCCCAAATGAATGAGAACATATAATGTTTGTCCTTCTCCGATTGACTCACTTCACTCAGCATAATACCCTCCAGTTCCATCCACGTTGAAGCAAATGGTGGGTATTTGTCGTTTCTAATGGCTGAGTAATATTCCATTGTGTACATAGACCACATCTTCTTTATCCATTCATCTTTCGATGGGCACCGAGGCTCCTTCCACAGTTTGGCTATTGTGGACATGGCTGCTAGAAACATCGGGGTGCAGGTGTCCCGGCGTTTCATTGCATCTGAATCTTTGGGGTAAATTCACCCCCTTTGATCCCGCGACTGATTTCCTTGAAAATCGGGGTAGAGGGTAGAAAAGAATTCCCACCAGAGTGACACTCATTACAGAGTGATCGTGCTCTTTCAGTTTTCCTATAGTTATCCCTTTAGGACAATATCGGTAGAGGGACATTTGAGTGGCCCAGCCATCACACCTGAAGAGCCCTCTGCCCCTTCCCCTGAAACCTTGAGCTAGCCTCCCAGGGTGGGTTATAGGCCCCTGACTTGTCTCTAGAAGCACCTCTCTTGTCCACCGGAGGTTCCTTTTCTTCTTTTTCTAAAGTACAAAAGTAATACACACTTCTTTAGAGCTGATAGTACAGTGGAAGAGCCAGACTTTTAAAAGTAAACAAAACCAGTATTTACACATTATGGTGAGTACTATGAAAGTGGAGTGGAATAGTGGGGCGGGGGAAGGGGCAGGGAACCTTCATGAGGTTGGTACAGGCAGGCTTGCCTGAGCAAGAGAATTTCAAATCAAAACCTGAAGGATAAGAAGGATCCAGTCATTAAAAGAGGGAGGAAGAGCATGTGCAAAGGTGCTGAGAAAGGGTTTGTTAAGTGTGGCTGGATTGCAGGGAGCTAGAGGGGAGTGGTCACAGTGGGGCTGGAAAGGGCAGCAGGTGGAGATGCCACGGGGTTCTTTGGTGCATGGTAAGGATTCTGATTTTATTCTGAGTCCAGTGAGAAGAAAGGATTTTTTTAAAGCTTTTATTTATTTATTTGAGACAGAGGGCTTGCACGAGGGGGGGAGGGGCAGGGGCAGAGGGAGAGGGAGAAGCAGACTTCTTGCTCAGCAGGGAGCTGGAAGGAGCTAGATCCCAGGACCCTGGGATCACAACCTGAGCTGGAGATAGATGCTTCACCGAGTGAGCCACCCAGGTGCCCCAAGAAAGGATTCCTAATCAGGGAAGTGATGAGGTCCATTTTCTATTTTAAGAAAGTCACCCAGGGACACCTGGGTGGTTCAGTGGTTGAGTATCTGCCTTTGGCTCAGTTCATGATCCTGGGGTCCTGGGATGAGTCCTGCAACAGTTTCCCTGCAGGGAGCCTGCTTCTCCCTCTGCCTATGTCTCTGCCTCTCTCTGTGTGTCTCTCATGATTAAATAAATAAAATCTTAAAAAAAAAAGTCATCCTTGTTGCTGCATGGAGAATGAATGGATCGAAGTGAGTAGGAAGGAAAGTTGGGAGACTAGTTGGGAGCCTGGTGATGGAAGCTGAGTGAGGAGCAACAACAGTAGCCTAGATGCAGGTGGTAGAAATAGAAGGATCTAGATCCATGCTGTCCCATGTGGTAGCTATGGTAGCTACCAGCTACATGTGGTCACTGAGCACCTGAAATGCATGAATATAAAAATACATACCGGATTTTGAAGGCTTGATACAAAAAAAAAAAAACCTCACAAAATATTTCATTAGTAATTTGCTTAGCTTTATTACATATTGACATAAATAATATTTGGGATATTTCATGGTATATAAAATAGAATATAAAAAATTTCACCTGTTTTTTACTAAAAAATGTGACTACTAGAAAAATTTAAATTATGTATGCGGCTTGTATACTACATTATGTTTTGGGGTTTTTTTTAAAGATTTTTTTATTTATATATTCATGAGAGACACACAGACAGAGGCAGAGACACAGAGGGAGAAGCAGGCTCCCTGTGGGGAGCCTGATGTGGGACTCGATCCCAGGACCCCAGGATCATGACCTGAATCAAAGACAGATACCTTTCCAACCACTGAGACACCCAGGTGCCCCCACATCATGTTTTTTTTTTTGTGAACACTACTGATATGGACAAAAGTTACTGAATTTAAAAAATACTTTTCTTAATTTCTAATATGTCCAATTTACATTGAACACAGTAGAAATTTCTACAAAGGTATACGTTTTCTTTTTTTGTTCCACTGAAGATATTTATTTGATAAAACAATACAGTCAGTGTTCGATTTGACCATGAAGAGCAAAAGCAATGAAAAATTTAACAATGCACATAAAAAATCCCAAGATGCCTAATGTGACAAATATCTATTCCTAAAATAATACTCCTAAAATTCCTCAGTTATTGAAAACGATATAAAAACAGAAGGATGTGGCAGAGAGCAAAAAACCAAAGATCTAAGTCTGAGCAACTTTGCTGACAATGCATGATTCCCCCCCAACCCCCACACCCCGCCCCAGTTTACAATCTGTTCAAATTGTCTTTATACCATCAGAGCCCGCAGAACATTTAGGTTCAATATCAGTTACACAACATTAGCACTAACTCAGACAACTACAGAGAGGTCATTGTTTTCCTTTGAGCTGGCCAAGTGACCACAGAAATAGCAGCTTACTCCTCTGAATTGAGGATTTCATCCTCACCAGTGCTACATACCTTCGGGACATATTTTTTAAAGAATATAGTTAATAATTCCTTTTTAAAAGATTTTATTTATTTATTATGAGAGACAGAGAGAGAGAGAGGCAGAGACACAGGCAGAGAGAGAAGCAGGCGCCTCACAGGGAGCCCGATCCAGGACTCGATCCTGGATCCTGGGATCACGACCTGAGCCGAAGGCAGATGCTCAACCGCTGAGCCACCCTGGTGCTCCTATTTAATAATTTCTTTATGTAATATTTACAGATGATTTGAATTTAAAAAGGATGTCAGCTTACTGAGATTTTATTGTCTTTAGAAAAATAACCCTAAGTCTGGAGTGGGCTGCTTACCCCGCTCACTGACAGCATATTTCAGGAGGCCCTTTTGAGCACTGCGGGAAGAACAGTGGTCTTTAAAGACTGGAGAGTTTGGCTCTACCCCAGCATCCATAATGTGCAAACTTGATCGTGCTTCCATCTCTCTGAACCTCACTTTCTTATTTGTTAAGTGGAGATGGTGCTAGCTGCTACTTACCCATCTTTTTTTTTTTATAAATTTATTTTTTATTGGTGTTCAATTTGCCAACATATAGAATAACACCCAGTGCTCATCCCATCAAGTGCCCCCCTCAGTGCCCGTCACCCAGTCACCCCACCCCCCACCCACCTCCCCTTCCGCCACCCCTAGTTCATTTCCCAGAGTTAGGAGTGTCTCATGTTCTGTCTCCTTCTCTGATATTTCCCACTCATTTTCTCTCCTTTGCCATTTATTCCCTTTCACTATTTTTTATATTCCCCAAATGAATGAGACCATATAATGTTTGTCCTTCTCCGATTGACTCACTTCACTCAGCATAATACCCTCCAGTTCCATCCACATCGAAGCAAATGGTGGGTATTTGTCGTTTCTAATGGCTGAGGAATATCCCATTGTGTACATAAACCACATCTTCTTTATCCATTCATCTTTCGATGGACACCGAGGCTCCTTCCACAGTCTGGCTATTGTGGACATTGCTGCTAGAAACATCGGGGTGCAGGTGTCCCGACGTTTCATTGCATCTGAATCTTTCTTACCCCTCATCTTTAATCACACCCACAAGATAGGGACTATTATCTCCTTTTACGGGGGAGGAAACTGAATTTCAGAAAGGGTAAGTGATTTACCAAAGGTTACGTTGCTAGAAAGAGGTGAAGCCAGGACATGAACCCTGGTCTTTCTGGCTCCACAGTCATTTGGGAAAAAACTTTCCCCTTTACTCTGCACTTTGCCAGTTTCCCTTCCTACCTCCGAAACTCTCAGGAAGGTCAAATCAAATTGGTGGACGGGCTTTGGAGAAATGCCATACAATGTGCAAATGTAAGAGATGATTAGTGAAAGAGATGAAGACAGGTGGAGCATACTCTGAAGCCAGAGACATAAACTACTGCATGACCGTGTCTGTTTAAATGAAGCGAATATCGGTGCAGCCTTCTCAAATTCACGCTATGCAAGTCACATCCCAGAGGGGTAATTTCCTTGCTCAGGATGAAAACTGACAGGGTTTCAGAGGAAAATAGTTTAGTGGTCATATTAAAAACTCAGTCATATTCACTTAGCATCATACCGTAAGGGCAGCTAGTTGCAGCATCAACAAGCCTGGGCCGGACGTGGCTTTCCTCAAGTAGGCTGGCCCATTCCCGGGGGCGTTCATTCTGCAGGAGGCTGAGACGCGAACAAGGCAGGATGGAGAAGCTATTTGTGCTCATCCTCTCCCTTACCTTAATGACTGACTTCACAGGTGAGCATAAACTCTGAAAACGGCCTGCTTCTCTCCTGACATGATAAACTGGAATAAGCCTATTCTATATTTTTGAAATATTTTTTCATTTCAAAGAATACATAATATGTAATAATTCAATCCTCCCCCCTCACCAGGAGCAGGCTCCCAGAATTGCTATCATTAGAGATAAATTATTTTTTTTAAATCTTTAAATGTATTTGAATATTAATTCTCAGAAATGCTGATAAACCTTTAACTATACTATATTTTATTTGATTTATAAAAAAGATTGTATTTATTTATTTGAGAGACAGAGAGCGAGCATGAGTGGAGGGGAAGGGCAGAGGCAGAAGCAGACGCCCCACTAAGCAGAGAGCCCGATGTGGGGCTCGATCCCCTGGAATCATGACCTGAGCAGAAGGCAGATGCTTAACCAACTGAGCCACCCAGGCACCCCAACTATAGCATCTTTTAGAGTTCATATGAGATCATCAAGACTTGACGGACTTATTTGATGACATCATTTGGAGTTTATGTGTGATTATTAAAACTTAATATATAATTTTATTATCATAATATCTTCTTCAAGGGATCATGTGTGATTATCAAGTTTAACACAATCTTGTTCTCAAGGAGAATCTTCCAATAACAACTTTTAGTTGATTTAGTGTTTTGGGGCTTTAAAAAAAAAAATCAAAGCAAATCTAATGGAAGAGAAACACATTGACCAGAGAACTGAGGAAAATATGTTTTAAAAAACTTATCCAGAGGCATCCAGCTGGCTCAATTGGTAGAGCATACAACTCTTGGTCTCAGAGTAGTAAGTTCGAGCCCCATGCTGGTTATAGAGATTACTTAAAAAAAAAAAAAAAAAGAAAGAAAAAGAAAAAAACCCTATATTCATGAAGTTAGCACCCACTTTTAAAGAAATACACCATTGCAATAGGTAAGTCTGTTGAAATTGTACAGCTTTTGCTCTGAGTTTACCATGTTAGAAACAATTTACAATTCTTCTCGGAGCCTTCTGGAATGCCACATCCTTTGGGACAGTCGCCGTGAAAGAACTTTTGTGTGTGACCGAAACTGAACTTGTAAATCCTTTGTCTTAGATAGTGAACTGGAGCATGAGCTTGTGTGCCTAGAGTCCCTCAGGCCCCTTCCTGACTTTTTCAGGGTCCTCCCCGATTCTGACGGAAAAGCAGGCCAAACAGCTTCTCAGGTCCCGACGCCAGGACAGGCCAAGCAAACCTGGCTTCCCTGATGAACCCATGCGGGTGAGTGCCAGCCTCCTGCTATTTGAAGGGACAGTGTGATCTCTTCTCCTCCTCCTCCTCCTCCTTCTTCTTTTCTTTCTTTTTTTTATTATTACTTGTTATTTTTATTTATTTTATTAATTTAATTATTTAATTTTTATTTATTTTAATTTAAATTGATTAATTTTCTTTTATTATTACTTATTTTTATTTATTCCTTTTTAATTTTAATTTAATCATTTTATGAATTTATTTTAATTATTACTTATTATTTTTATTTATTTAATTTATTTATTATAAGTTTATTTAATTCATTTATTTGAATTTAAATTCAATTTGCCAACATACAGTATAAGGTGCTCATCAAGTCACATGCTCTCCTTAATGCCCAGTTACCCCACCCTCCCACCAACCCCCTGTTCTGTAGCCCTCCGTTTCCCAGAGTTAGGAGTTGCTTATGGTTTGGTTTGTCTTCCTCTCTAGTTTTTCCCCTAGTTACGGTCCCTTTCACTATTTCTCATATTCCACATATGAGTGAAACCGTATGTTGATTGTCTTTCTCCAAATGACTTATTTCACACAGCATAATACCCTCCAGTTCCACTCACGTCGAAGCAAATGGTGGGTTTTCATCATTTATTTTTTTATTATTAAGATTTTACTTATTTATTCATGAGAGACACACAGAGAGAGAGAGAGAGGTTGAGAGAGAGAGAGACACAGGCAGAGGGAGAAGCAGGCTCCATTCAGGGAGTCTGACGTGGGACTCGATCCGGGGTCTCCAGGATCAGGCCTTGGGCTGAAGGTGGCGCTAAACCCAGGCTGCCCCTGCCTTGTCTTCCTGAACCCATCTTTGCCTTCATTTTGTCGGTTGTGCTGGGTGCTATTAGATCCTGCCACACTGACCCCAGGCCTGGCTTGTCCCCCCATTCCCTGGAGAAGTACTAACATTCCTGGTATTTTATTATTATTATTATTATTACCAGGATGAGTTCATTTAAAAATCTCTTATTAAGGTACAGTATTAAAAAAAAAATGCAATGTTGCGCAGTGCTGAAGAGTGCTGGTTCTGGGTCAGACTGTGTGGGCTTGGCTTCCCATTTTCTACCTGTGTAAACTTGGGCAGCTTTCCACATGTTTCTATACCTCAGTACTCTCATCTATAAAAGGGGGCTAACAATAAATATTACTTACCTTCCTCTAATATTGTTATTCCAAATAATAACATAAAATAACTATAAGGATAAAATAAAGGAATTCCTAGTAAGGCGCTTATAATAATAATACTCAGCAAACAGTAACTACTCCTTTGACTATTAAGTACCAGGGACCAGGCAAGGTGCAGAGGCTGTCAGAGCAGTTGCTTGGAATTCTGCTCAGAGTTGATAGCAGACACAGAGAAGTCCGTGAATGGCTGTTATACAGAGTGGCTTAGAAATGAATCAAGGACTTTAGGCTGTCAGGAGTGGGCATGCCTTATCTGTCTTTTCTTCCTGTCTGTCTTTCTCTCTCTCTCTCTCTCTCTCTCTCTCTCTCTCTCTCTCTCCCTTCTCTCTTGAAGTCAGATGTGGCTTGAAATATCTAAGCGCAGGGTAGAAGGGGCCTGGTGGGGCAGGTGCAAATCAGGGAGGGTTGGAGTTCCGTGGACTTTATCTTGTGTTCGGTGGAAGACAATGGGGAGGTGAAGACTGGAGCTTCAGATAGATGGTTTGAGAAGTGGTTAGAAGAGAAGAGGCCGAGGACTGAAGTCTGGGGACACCAACACTCAGAGGTGAGCAGAAGAGGAGGAACTCGAAGGGGCTGAGAAGGAATGTGGGCAGACATTGGGGAAACCCAGAAAGTGTGGGGAGCAGAATGCTTGGCTCGAGGGTCCCCAGGGGCTCCAACTGGCACCTTGTGCTTTTGGCCTGATGTCTGGAGGGGCTGTTCCAGACGCTCTTCCTCAGCAACCTAGGAGGCTACAGGTCTCAGAAGACAGGCTCTAATCAGCAGTAGAGTCGGCCGCTGGGCATTTTCTCTGCCGGCATCTGCCCCTGGTTCCTCTGAGCTCCGGCTGGGGAACGGCAGCCTTCACAGGAGCTGAAGGCATCTTAGACATTGGGCAACAGGTGAGTTTGGATGGTTGTAGCAGGGGAGGTTGGACCATGCAGATCAGCTTCCTGCTTCCCTTGCACCTCCTGCGTCACCCTCCCTGCCATTGTAGTCTTGTGTCCCCAACACGGCTGAGTGTGGTCCTTCCCTGCCCAGAACTTCCCAGAGCTCCTTCTCTGACCATTTCCTTCCTTTGACCTCTGGTTGCCACTGGTCTTCACCTGTGACAACCTGCATCTTGCTTCGAACTTTGTGATTTTACTGAATGTCTGACTTTTCTGGTTTTGTTCTGTTTTTGGTCATCTTTTATAGGCTGATCACCAATGACTTCTCTTAACTGCCTTGAGCCTACAATATCTAGTTTCCGTGTGATTCTCTCTTGCCTCAGAACTCCCTGCTGACCCCTCATGCCTCCTGTGTATAGCCCAGCCCTGCATGTCCCTCCCCAAACACTGAGCCCAGTGTCCAGAATCCTCTGCCACTCAGCCGAATTTGGAAAAGTGCTCATGTGACCTACAGTTGAAGTGGGAAATAAATATGCAATAAATTACTTGGTGGCTAGTCTATATCAGTAGTTCTCATCCAGGGATGATTTTGCTCCCCCATCCCCAGGGACATCTGGCAGTGTCTGGAGACATTTGGTTGTCACAATGCAGAGGAGGCAGGGGGAGAGGGGAGAGGGCAGTGCGGGGGTGGGGGGGTAGGTAAGGTGGGAAGAGGGAGGGTTTGCTACTGGTGTCTCATGGGTTAAGGCCAGGAATGCTGCTAAACATGTTATAATGCACAGGGCAGCTCCCATAACAAAGAATGATCTTGCCTAAAATGTCAACAGTCCCAAGGGTGAGGAACCCTGGCTATACCATGCGGAACAACCTCTTTCTCTTTTATTCTGTGCTACTCTATGCATCTCTTGCACTATCATTTATTATTACATTATATTATTTATTATTATATTATATTATATTATATTATATTATATTATATTATATCTACCCACATGCAGAACCAGCTGAATCAACAAGCAATTTCTGGTATCACATTTTTCTAGGAATGTGTTTCTTAACCTTGGCTGCATGCTGGAACCAACTGGGAAAGTTAAAAATTTGATGCCTGGGTCCCAGTCCCAGGAGGGGATGGCCTGAGGTGTGGCCTGGGCATTGGGTGGGTGACAAAGCCCCTCAGGTGGTATCAACCTGCAGCCCGAAGCTGGGAACTACTGTGCCAGGCCTTCTGGGAGAGACCTGGCATATGTAATACCAGCTCCTGTGGGCCAGTCGGGAACATGAAAGCTAAAAGCACTACATGTTTAGGGAACAGTTAAAGGTTGAACTGAGTGATATGGAGAGCGAAGGCACCAGTCTGGATTCAGTTGAGTCAGAGAGAGTAGGAGGCTCATGGGGTGCATGCAGAGTGTGCTCCTTGCTGACCTGATGTGCACTTCATTAAACTTAACACTGATAGGGCCTTACCAAGTGCCAGACACTGGGGACATAAAACAAACTAGACAGTCTTCCTTCTTCCAGGTGCCCATGTCCATTGTGTGGAGACAGAGTCACAGTGACTCAACTAGATTCGAGTTCTCTAATGAGGTTGAGAGGAAAGGGTCTCTAGCTCTACCTGGAAGGAGGGAGGAGGTGTCCACCGGCTAAGGCTTGAAGGATGAGGAGTTTTCAGGCAAGGGATGGAGGGGAGGTGGGAAGCATATTCCACCCAGTGCCGTTCAGTCCACATTCTCCCACTAACTAGTCATGGGCTTTGGGCTTTGGACTTAGGATGAGTCAGTTTCCTTTTTCTGGAGCTCACGTTCCTCTAGAGTGTAGAGAATTTGCAGTGAATCTGGCTAAAAGGTCTATTCTAGGTCTTGTATTTTAGGGTACTGAATAGAGCTTTGAGGGAACAAGTCAGGTTTCTTGGTGCCAGTCTGCAACTTGAGGAAAAGCCAAGGACTGCAGGATGCGGCCCCCCGGTGAGAAGCCAGAGGAGTTTATTCAGAGGGTCTCTAAAGCTCCAGAGCCTCCTCCCTTCATACCTGCTACCGCTGTATCCAACATCCAAGACCTATATTTGACCTTTTCCCCCATATCAGGTCTTGTTGTTGACTTTTCCTTTTCATGGATTCGCTGAGAGCAAAATGAATACCCATCACCTGTCATGTAGAAGAAGCGATTTACTCATTTTAGGTGACAGCTGACATCGCGATGATCCTGGTTCTTCATCACTGTTGACAGTGATGGAGCCCTGGACGGACAGGGTGAGCCCACATTTGTCTGGTCCTGAGTGGAAACCTGTGGCCATAGGGGAGGTCAGGGGTTGGTGGGTGGGACTGCCTCACAGGCTTAAACCCTACAGCATGGGAACTAAGGGCTTAATTAAGTCCCTTTGATTTGTGAGGAAGGAACCACACTTCCTTGCTCTTTATCTTTTGCCAAGATAGCTGCTACCCTCCTTGTTTCTCTGTGCAAACCTTCTGCTTAGATGTCCCTTTGCTAGGGAAAGGGCACTGTCCTGCAGATGCACCATCCTGTGTATTCAGTGCACACGCATCCTGAGTGTTGTGTATGTGTGTGTGTGTGTGTATGTGAAGGTGTGTGTATTTGTTGCATATATGAGGATGTGAATATATGCGAGAAAGTATGTGTGTAAGAGTGTATATGTATGGGTGTGTGTATCACTGTGTATGTATGTGAGGCTGTGTGTGTGTGTGCTTTGGAAAAGACCTTGTGAAAAAATTTCTAAAAAGATTTTATTTATTTATTCATGAGAGAGAGAGAGAGGCAAAGACACAGGCAGAAGGAGAAGCAGGCTCCACACAGGGAGCCCGATGCAGGACTTGATCCCAGCACCCCGGGATCACGCCCTGAACCGAAGGCAGATGCTCAACCACTGAGCCACCCAGGCATCCTGCAGAATAATTTTTCAGAAGGTCTGGA